CCAGAGTCATGAACCTCTGAAGTTTACATGCATCAGCAAGTATGCATCAGGAAGACAGAAAATCACAAGTGTTGACAAGAATTTGTGTGATACTGGGAACCTGGCAGATCTTTGAAAGACTGATAAAAACCCAATGTGGGATGTCACTCAGGAAAACAATCTGATAGCTCCTTTAACAGCTTTTTCTTTCCTTAAAATTACATTTTTAAATCAGGGTCTCCTTTGAAATTGAACCAACCTCAAAATCAATTTCTGTTTGTGTATGAACTTAATATACCAGTACAAAGGAGTGAGTACACAGCCAGTGAACATGGGTGCATGGAGTGGGTGTGTGCATATGTGGGAGAAAAAGAAGAGGGTTTTTTTTCTCTGTTCCATCTCTGCAATATAACACACACACACACACACACACACACACACACACACACACACACACACACACACAAATAAATATAAAGCAGACAACAGACCTGCCCTCCTACCAAATAGTCATGAACTGAGTCAGAAGGGCTCAGTTTCTTAGCAGTCAATGCACATAAGCATTCAAATCAGCTTCAAGCTTCCACTTGTCTTAGGTCATTAGTATGTGATCCCATGAAAATCAATGATCTCTTTGTGGGTCCCCATTTTCACTTTGAACATAATGAATTGTAAGAACTATAACACAAAGTTCTTATAAATGTTGAGTAAGAATGGACAAGAATTTCTTTTCATGCCTGTGCTGTTAGCATGCATGCAAGTGAGACAGAGCAAGCTCAGTTGAAGACCCTTTTGTTTTACGGATGGAGTCTTATGTAAATAATAAATAATAGAGAATGCCTAGTGTTCTGCACAAGGATATCCTCATGCCTGTCCTAGTAAATGTTCATTTTTTAACTTTATTTTTTTATTTTATGAGATTAGTGTTTTTTTCTGCATGTATGTATATGAACCACCTGCTTGCAGTGTTTGAATAGGTCAGAAGAGGGCATTGGCCCCCTTAGTATTGCAGTTTCAGGCAGCTATGAACTGCCCTGTGCATGCTGGACATCAAACCCAGGTCCTCTGTTCTTAACCTCTGAGCCATCTCTCAAGCCCAAACTTTCTGATTCTTTTTTTTTTTTTTTTTTTTTTTTTGAGGCAGGGTTTCTCTGTGTAGCTTTGGAGCCTATCCTGGCACTTACTCTGGAGACCAGGCTGGCCTCGAACTCACAGAGATCTGCCTGCCTCTGCCTCTGCCTCCCAAGTGCTGGGATTAAAGGCATGCACCACCAATGTCCGACAAGTTTCTTATTCTTAATAAGAAACCATTGTTATCTTCACCTTGGCAAGGAAGAAAACAAGATGCACATCAGAAGAGCCATACTGATGTTATCAGTGTTACTTCTTTCACCTTGGCAGTCTTTCCATCTCCTTTTGCATCTCTCAAAGCCTCTTATCTCTAAGCCTCTTCTGGTAACATCGAATTATAATAGTTGCTTATTATATTTTAAAGGCAGTCTTATCTCCCATGTTATAAAATTCACAATTTTCTTCATAACTAAAAACAATGCACTATCACTAGCTATATCTTAGACTTTTTACTTGTCATTTTGAGACAAGATCTCACTAAAATGCCCAGACTGATATCTGGGGTCCAGGATATTCTCCTGCCTGAATTCCCTAAACAACAGGGGGACCAGTTCTGCATCACCAGGCCAAACATCAAAAAATATTATACTCAGGACAAATTAATGTCCTTTTACAATAATCAATATCAATTTTTATCCTTCAATAATCAATGAAGATTTATTGTAATAAAAGTCACAGATAAATTAAAAAGCAAATTGTATTGGACTCCTGTTATTAAAACCTTAGAAGGTAAATTTCCTATTTCTGGGATACATGTATTATTTTAAAACCCATCCCAGTTTTAACTGTCCACATACATGTCATTTATAATTGATAGTTGGTAGGTCTTATTTTGTTGTACTTTTGTTTTTGCATAGAATAAAAAAATGAAATGAGAAAGCATGAATGTTTATAATTCATAAGATGGACTCCCATTCTTAAAATAATGAATGAAAGGTAAATGGATTCAGGTAGCCAAACTTATTCCTAGAAGAACCTCGGCAAATGGAAAGGACACATTTTGTAGATATCTACAATGCCTTAGGGAAGCACAGTGTGATAGGTATGTCATACCGAATGCCAAAAGCCTTTCAAGTGTATCAGGCACCTATTTCAGATGGCATCAAGTATGATCTGAACATATAAACAATGGGGAAAATAAAAAGTACTCTTCATGAGTCAGTCACAGTGTTTTTATGGCACTCTGGCAGTAGAACTTCATGGAATCCCAGTCTATATTAACATGATCAGAAGGAGCATTTTGTATTATTGAGCGGGGCATTTCCACATCACTAGAAACCTCTGTTTGTATTGTGTCTCATCAGATGGCTAGTCAATAGCTGAAACATTTATTCACAGCTAGTCAATTATAACACCAGGAAATCAGCTGTTGAATAAACTGTGCTATTAATTTTCCATCGGAGATTCATGTTTCAATGACCATGCATTTCATAGACTTAAATACTGGAAGGCTAATTGTCTCGTAAGCCCCATTAAAAGGATAGCATAGATTACAGTGGAAAACAATCCTAGCAGGGCTGCAACATGCACGCCACCTTTCTGTGATGGGGGTCCCTCCCCTGCCTATCACACTGTGCTTCCCTAAGGCATGCTTTTCTAACATCTTAGAAAATAAGCCTTCATGGTTTTGTATTCACAGAAATTCATTATTTCATAAAGTAAATGCAAATACAAAGATAATCTCACTAATCTCCAATGTCAAATTAGTTTTTTTTTCTTTAAAATGATTCTCACAAAGGGCTGTTATTTCCCCATCCTAATGCCTTCAGACTCAAAATGCAACTCATAAGACAGAATGTGATTTATTTCTTTTCTGTTTTCCTTTAAAAGTAACCCAGGTTTGAAATTAATAAAACTAGAGATCAGAAAATCCTACCCCATCATATGGCACCATGGCATTTGAGACATCACCAGAGGCAGAAATCTCCTTACATTTTTCCCCACAAATCTTTCTTCAAGGAAACAGGTCACAAAATTTAAAGAAAACAATGTCATGCCTTTTTTTCTGAAGCAGATTGTATGTCTTCATGTGAGGGTCACTTGCCTATCTTCAAAGAAGAGAACCCAAAGACCTAGAGATGACAAAACTGTGAGGGAACAGACAAGACTATGTTCCCAGTTTACTGAGGGTGTATCACACTCACTTTATTCAAGCACACTCCTCCTCATTTGAGCCATTCCTCTTCATGCCTAAGCACAAAAGTACATAGGTTGTTCTGCCTCTCTGGGTTTTCTTTTTCAAAGGTTTCTGACACATTGAGTTTGTCTTTAATAAATCATCTTGCCATTTGTCTTGTTATGCTTTTACATTTTTGTTAAAAGGGCCTCCTGGCCAGTACACAATAGATAGGTAAGACAATAAATAAATAAATAAATAAATAAATAAATAAATAATGTTCCCCACCTTACAGATGGAAACATTCTGGTTAGGTTTGCATGTCTGAAAATTAGCTAGAATATAGCTAACACTTGCAATGTATCCTTGAGTGGCTGACAAGACATGGAAAATACCTTATCTACTCAAGATACATTTTTATATTTCTCCAATATTACCTACTATATGCTAAAATCCTAGGGCAAAGATTGCATTTGATTTGTTTGTTAACATTTTTGAGGAAATGATGGGTTTCATGTATGTTTAAAATGGTGCAAAGAATAAAACATTGGTGGTCAAACTAAACAAATGACTAACTAAGCAGAAACAGATGTCCCATTCATTCATTAGAATGTCTACCTATACTGTATTTTTCAAATCTGAACCATTCTCCCCTGAGGTCACTGAGTTTTTGTTTTTCTTCATAAATGTCATTTTAGCTAAGTATCTTCTAACTATTAATTTAATGTTCCAGGTTTATATTAACCATAAAGTTAGTAGATGTGAATATTCAGGTCATTGGAAAGATGCAGATGGTCAGATATGATATCCAATATTTACATCAACTAAGAGTATGGAGAGACAAAGCCAATGTTTCCTTATTATATGAACATGTGAATAAATTGTTAAGGTTTTCATTTGGTACTGCCAGTCTTCACAAACACTGACTTGGCTCCTGAGGTCATATTTTCTCTAAAAATAAATAGATTTGCTTCAATAGAATGCTGTGATTTGCATACAAAGACCATGAAGTTCACAGGCATAAAATAAAAGCCAGGTGTGGTGAATGACACACACCCTTAATGCCAGCATTCTGGAGGCAGGTGGATGGATCTCTGTCAGTTTGACGCCAGCCTGGTCTGCAGAGTAAATTCCAGGACAGCCAGCACTGTTACAAAGAGAAATCCTGTCTTGGAACAAACAAATGCCAGCCTCTCCACACAAAAAAACAGGTAATACAAAAGCCAGGGAAACAGCCAGCTTCTGGGAGGACTGTTCTCCTCTACATTAAACCCTAAGACCACAAAAACAGTATTGTGAGGGAACTAAATTTGCATTCTGTATGAAAATTATCATAACCCTGTCTGGAGTCTTGACTTCCATTTGGAAACACAACAAAGATCATTTCAAATATCCCATATTGTGTCTTGCCTTATATGACTCTGACTGATAATTCTGAATAAGCTAACAATTCAGTGTATGAATCAATTCTGTATAGTGACTCTATGAAAAAGCAGAGATTTATATGTTATATCAAACTCAGATCTTACACCAAAATGTTCCATGCCTCAAGCTGCACCTTCTCTCGAGTAGTCTGTTTCTCATGCTTGACAGAACTTGCCTCCATCAGCTTTCTTTTCAACACACTCTCTTTCCATTCCCACCTTGCACACCCTCCCTGAAGTTCCTTTAGTTCAATACAGTACATTATCATTTTTCCTCAGATGCCCATACATATGATCACCAACAGAGACAATTCAACAACTTAACACATTTATAAAAACACGGAAAGTACCTGGACATAGGCTCTGCAAGAGCGCTCTCTTTTCTGAAGCTGAATCCATTAGGACAGCAGATTAAACACAGAATAGAAAAAACAAGTTAGTGACAGAAGAAAAATAAAAGAAAACATCTGCATAAACACCTTACTTTTTGATTCACAACTTTTATAGAAGGAAACTAAGGCTCTGCAGCAACATTATAGCAGCCAAAAACCTTTCTCCAAACAGCCCACCTACAAACCAGATGGTGGAAAGCTGTTGATGGAAGGAAACCTTTGAATACATTTAGTAGAAATTAGTACAAATCAATATACATTCATGTGAAATGATCCAGGTCACATCCAGTTAGTTATTCATTTATGAGCCACTAGCAGAGACTTAAAGATGTTAAGTCAATTATGCAAAAGGTTTGGAACCCATTATTTAAAAAAGAGATTATGTGTGGCTTTCAAGACAGCCTAGATGCTTAATGTGTGTGCTCATATTAAGTGTTCATTCATACCTTCAAAATTCCTATTATAAGGAAGATAGAAATGCCCATTCACTGTGACTACTTTTGACCCTATGGGACAAATATCAAGAGTCAGATAACTTGAGATTAACAAAATTCGATTCACTTCCTGACTTGATGCTCTTTTATTTCTTAAAAAATTGGGTTTGACAGTCTTGGCCAAAATAGAGAACATTTTAGAAACTAGTGGGGTAAGAAGCTTGATTTAATTTCCTTTTGTTGACGGAAGTTTGTATTCAGGCCCAAAACATTTTCTCCTGGTGCTAAAATGAACAATCAATAACCATTCATTCACACTGTATAAATGAGTGACCCAAATGTTTATAAATCAGACTGTGGGATTTCATATTCCCTCCTGGGTTTTTCAGTTCCCTTGGTCATTAGCCTTGAATTGCAAAACAGAATTTATCCAGTGTTAGGGAGCAGTTACTTTGACACTTTTTGTGGAGCTAGCTGATACTGTACCAAGCCTAATTCGTGCTTCCTTCAATGAGGGAGCAGTAACTTTGCCGAAGAATGAAGTCAGGAATGAGTGCAAGTGAATCACCAATGCTGTCATTCAGATCACTGATTCACATCACAGTTATGTAGGACTCTGAGCCCTCCAGAATTTCAATGTGGAGTGCAATTGATTTGTACCTAGTTGACTTTGCAAATCTGATGGGCTGGAACTGCTTCAGGAAAGTGGGAGCCACAGGAAATGAGAGCAAGCCAGCAAGCACATGAGTAACCTTTGCCCTCCCATCTCCCTACCCCTTCATGCAAATTAACATATGACAAACTGCATTATATAAACAATTGAAGAGAGCCAAATGGGAAACAAAAGAGAGCATTAAAAAGCCCCAGGAATGGAAATTTGCCCATTATGTAGTTATTTGATATTCAGTCTAGGCAAGCTGATTAGCTGGAGCCAGTTAGAATGTGACAGTAATTGCCAGCTTTACCTGATAGCCTCAGACATCAACACCACTTTTAAATAAAGATACAAAGTATTGCAATAACAAGTCATGTTATGATATGTAACATTAATAGAAATCAGTACTCCCAACCCATTATGATGAGAATAGCTGGCAGCCATATTCATTAGTAGCATCAAGTCAGCTAGGGTAATAACACATTAAAGTCACAGCATGCCACACCATATAGGCAGCTGTGGACTATTCCATCAGGGGCTTCATTGTGATTCTATCAGGATACAAGTGAAAAAAAAAATAACCCCTTCTTGCTCAGCATGACAAAGAAACCTAATTCATTGTATCTAATAAATAAAGACTAAAATGGCATTTGCTTACCAAAGAAACTGCAGCAAGAGCTATCTGCCAGAAAATAAAAAATATCTGGCTTTTTAATGTTGAATGGTTATTATATAAACACACTTTTCCATTTGAATAAGTGGCAATCTTACCCCACCAAAAACAGAGAAGTAAAATCAGTAAAAGACAAAATCTATGTTTTTTTTTTCAGTCAAAAGGGTAATGTTTTAAAAATGAATTTCTTACAGGATCATTAGTCTTCCACTGTCAAAAGCTTTTATTTTTAAAGTTGGAAAGACTATGTTAATAGTCCAGGCCACAGAACTCAGCTATGCCATTTTGAGCATCTTCATTTGATGCTATTTGACACTATGATATTAATCTACTATGTAGTATTTAGTTTTACATATATAAATGATATTCTTTATAAATATGTAACATGTATTTTTGTTTACAATTTTATAAGATACTAAAGTGAATAAAATGTTTATTAAAATATAAAAAATCATAAAGTATATTTCCTTAAAACATATTTTAAATTTGCCTATTTAAAGTTAAAATTTGCAGAAATAAAACATGCAAAATTTCATCTGTAGTGATACAAAAATCTGAGTTGTTTAAAAATTCAAATGAAGTATATATTAAAATCCAATATCTTGCCCTAGCAGTTTTTTAAAAATAATATTAAGTAGGTTAAATTATCTCATTAAAAAAATTCAATGGGAAAAACATCTAATAGAGTTTAACATTCCTTTGTTAATGTTTTCTAAATTTCCACTTCATGATTAAACACTCAATTATTTTGAGAGAGAAATTTATAGGTTATAGGAAACAATAACCAGTTACATTGGTTTACACTATTTTTTGCTACAATTTAGCATAAAAACAAACTGAGAAAGTACTACCAAAAGTAAATAATGATGAGACTGGCACATATTTCTCTAAATTAAAAGTCAAATCAGGTCGTAATTGAAATAGTAAAGTCAATCGAATGAAAGTATTGGTTCCTTTTTGAATCATGCAACTCAACAGAAGAAAGAAAAGAAATAAGCAAGAATGTCTCAGTGATTTTACTTCAAACTGAAAGACAGACACAGCTGAAGTTCTCACCTTGTTCAAGCTGCGGGCGGCACTGTCTTTCCCCCCTGGGGTCAAATTCCTGAGCTGTACATCCAGGAGACCAACCAGCTGGTCCATGGCGCGGACTGAGTAGGTGATGTCCCCAGCATTCAAATGATTTCTGGTCTGTTCCGCCAGCTCTCTAGCAATATTGGCAGCTGTTTCTCCAGACTTTAGCTATAATTTTAAATGTAAGGAAAAAATATTTTCCATAAATCCATCCATGGGTCTCCTTTAGCAATTGTTTTTGTATTGTAAATTAGAATTATTGAGGCAAAAAGACAGTTCTTAAATCCCATCTTCAGCTGACAGCACCCCACAATGTTTGCTGATAACTCATCCTTTTCTTTGAAGTCTTCAAGAGGCTTTTTGAGGAAAAGTCCTTCTAAAGATTATTTCTCACCTCAATTAGTCATCTGGGTGGTTAAGTCTGCAGTGTGTCCCACTCTTTTCTCTGGCAGTCTCTAAATTGGACTTCCGCGAGAGTCCTTGTGGGTCCCTATTCTATATTCTCAAGAGGCTGTCCATGCTTTCCTTCGTGGCAAGATGAGCACTGAGTAGAGTAAGTGAACTCAGGGGTTTCTAAGATCTGTGAAATCTACTCTCAGTAAAATCCCTGCATTCAAAATAATCTTGATCCTCTTATAAACTCCTAAGAAGTTTCCTCTCAATACATCGTGTAGCAAATTACTCCCAAGTTTCTTTTATTTTCCCTTTCTGAAACATACTGATTTTTCAAATATATTCTTAAAACAATATGTAATTTTCAACACTCTAATGATGTTAAAGGAACTAAAGACAATATCCCATGACCTACTGAATATACTTGGAGGCCTTGAAACAAGTAAATTCACTTGTACAAATGATGTGAGGAATATTTTAAGAGATAAATAAGTACACTTCTTGGTTTATAATGTTGATTGTCATTTTTGTATCCTTAGAATTAAATTTAAGTAATAAGTTGAATTTCAAAAACTATACTACAGCACATTTTCAAAATGAAGAATGCAATGGAAAAACTTTGTAGATTCTACTTCCCAGAGAGTGTCTTATGTGCATGTTTCTAAACTACAACCCACTCCATCTCTATTTAAATATATGAGTATCATTATTTAAGGATTGGTTTCCTTATTCTCTCATGTTCTTGTAAGACTACCAGTATCGATTACAAACAAATAAACAAATTTATTCTCTTTCTAAACTATTTCCCAACAATTATTCAGGAAGACACAAAACTGATTAGAGCAGTAAGTGAAATAGAGTTCACTCAAGGATGCTTCATGTTCACAGCAGGACCAAACACTTAAAAACAAAACCATAAAAACCCTGGATAAATAAATTGGAGTGATCAGAACATCTACATAATTTACAATCACATTCTCACACACCATGTATTAAAAAAAACCTTATTTAAAGATGAAATATAATAATAGGAAGCACTAGCTAGGTTATTGAAATGAATGTCACTCCTATGAATACTGCCACTCCTATGAATACTGCCAAGAGTGTATAATTATATAGCTCCTGTATAGAGCAAACATTGATGCTAAGTCTTCCTGCTACTGGATATAAGAAATTATCTCCTGATGTCAAAAACTAAACATTCAAAGACATCTAATAAAGCTTGTGACTGAAATCAAAAGCAGTTATGACTATATAGACTTTCTCAATTATAAATGTACAGTTTAAAACCATGAAGGAGATTAATAATATTGAGATCAGTCTTTAAGATACACTGCTAGGCCTGGCGTTCGTGGCGCAAGCCTTTAATCACAGCACTCAGGAGGCAGAGGCAGGTGGATCTCTGTGAGTTCGAGGCCAGCCTAGTCTCCAGAGTGAGTGCCAGGATAGGCTCCAAGGCTACACAGAGAAACCCTGTCTCGAAAAACAAAAAAACAAAAAAACAAAACAAAAAAAAGATACACTGCTAGAAGCATACTCATATAAAACATTTCAAATGTATATTTATATTTCTGTGTTTATATATTTATTTATATCAATACACTTAAATGTGTAGACCAAAGCTTGAAAATTCAAAAATAAAAGAGAAATCCTTATTGGTAATATTTAAATTTCATAAAATATATTCATATTATGTAAAAACCTATTAAAGTATTGTTACTGTTAGTAAAATTATTGTTAAAGTATAGTTAGTCCTTGTTTTGCAAAAATTATTAAAATGACATTAAGCAAACAAAAACAGAGTGCATCAGTTATAATGTAATGGGTTCATAAATTTCTTAGGATCTCCATATTTAAAATACCTGTAAGTTCAAATGAACTACATTACAGAATTTAAGGGTAACTATGCAACAAATTTATTATCTACCAAAATACCATTCATGGAATTACATCATGAAATTACATTTAAACAGCAACAAAGTGACCCAACTGAATCTTTTTTTTTTTCCTAACGATTTAAGACTAAATGCTAGAATCTAATGAGAAATTACATTTAAACAGCAACAAAGTGACCCAACTGAATCTTTTTTTTTCCTAACGATTTAAGACTAAATGCTAGAATCTAATGATCAATGAATTCTAAAATTCAGTAGGCTGGGTGGGTAGCTCAGTTTAGCATGTGTGAGACCTGGATTTATTGCCAGTATAGAAAGAGAGAAAAACAGGCAGAGGAGAGGAAGGGAGAGATGAGGCACACAGAAAATGAGAATGGAAGAAAGGAAAGAAGGAAGAAAAAATGTTAGTATTGATTGATTAGTGATCATTTATTTATTGTGAGATGCTAGTGACACAGAGGAAAGCAACTGGTCATTGAAAGTGGTAGAGGCCGTCTTGTCATGTGTGTGTAGCTTTGCGTTCTAAGGTCCTATGAAAATTAACACCAGTCCTGCCACTCCAAGCCAGTGGCTATGGAGTACTTTGGCAAGCATACAGAATGAATTTCACAGACAATGGGTAATTAGACAAAGGAATTTTATTGTAGGATTTTAAGTGGGAGTTCAAAAAAAGGAAGGAAAGAAAGAAGAGAGGGAAGGAAAAAGGGAAGGAGAGAAGGAAGGAAGGAGGATCAAGTCCCAGAGCATGTGTTCCACTAAGAGGCATTCTATAAGTAGTGGAACTCATTTAGAAGGTCTAAAAGAAAGAGAACAAAAAATAAAGCAGGAAGCAGCACTCCCTTCTTTGGATTTTGTCCTCTGGCCAGGGCAGAACCAATGGACATTTCAGGACAAGAATCAATGTCTGCATCTCCATTTGTGTCTCTCATTCTCATCAGCAGCACATTAACTATTTGAATCCAGTATTCCAACATGGAAAATGGATGCAGGTAAACTTGTCGAAAAGTTTGTAAAATTCTTCCTGTGTTCGTGAATTTATGAGAACTTCTGTTCCTATAATTTCCTAAAGCTTACTCCTTTATTCAGGCTGGCATTCACAGGTCATACCTTATACCTTTACTTTCTCTATTCTCATAATAATAAGCACAGTTTTAGAACTATAATTGCTTTTTGTTAACCATTGTGCTGCATTTTGTTATTATTGTTACTGTACTATTTTTGTCTATGAAAAGATCTGGCAGATGTAATTCAGGAGATTCTATTGTGTACCATGGTGAAAAAAAAAAGCATGGGATTACAAATCAGGCCAAATATATTTTTCAATAAAACAGTATTTTTAAAACTACATGTACAATAATTGAATATCTATTAGTGGCTACTACAAAAGGCAAAAGGTACCTAACCAAGAAATAAATACACAGCAGCATTGCTATCTTTATATTGCATTTCCATGTATTATTTTTGTTGGAGTATATAAGCATAGTTTTCAATAATATCATTGGATTTGAAAATAAGATGCAAAGATGAGTTATTTTTACATAAAATTTAATTTTTCATATATAATTATGAAATATGGAAAACAAATAATTATTAAGTCAAAATATAATGATTTCCAACACAAAAGGTTAATAGTAAATAATCCTACTGTTTATATATGTGTTGATGAGAAAATGATGCAGTTGTGGGAGCCACTCAATCATTAATGGGCTATCTTCAAACTAGTAACCATATTTAATTTTCAAGGAGCATTTGCATTTACTGGGTGAGATAGTATGCACCTGTAATCCTAGCTCTAGGAGGCAGTGTACAGACAATCATTGCAAGTTCCAGGACAGCCAAGGCTACACAGAGAAGCTCTATTAAAAATCAAACAAACAAAGAAAAAAGTATACCCAAAGTCTTTATTTATGAAGATAAAACAATCCCTCTGCCCATCAGAACACTGAAACTAAATACTATAAAAATTGTGGAAAAATGTGTGTAAAAAAAACTTTCTTGAAATAATTTTTAAGTAAACAAAAATTACTATAACCTTTGCTTTTCTGTGCATTTTATGGTTATAAAATGGAATAAATTACTAAAAAATATTCTTGAGAAATTAAAGAGGGCTCATTTGCCCTTGAGCCGATTATACTCTACTACTTGGGATTTTCATGTTACAGTTTGAATGTGAAATGTCCATCAGCACTTGGTCTTCTACTGTTGGTTCTCTCTTAGACACTGTAGTACCTTTAGGATATGTTCCTTGATAGAGGAACTGGGTTATTGGAGCTGGTATTACTGTTTCAGAACTCAACCCTGATACCTTCTCACTCTGCTTCCTTGAACCCATCACCATAGGACCTCCATGCCTGCCATCTTACCTTCTCTATTGTGATGGAGTCTACTCTTAAAGTGAGTCAAAATAAACCTTTCTTCCCTTAAGTTGCTTCTTCTAAGGTGTCTGACCAAAGCAATAAGTAAAAAGAAAAGAAAAGTTGACTACCTGAGTAATGTACATGAAATTAGATAATATTAACTGAGGAATGTAATGATAATACACAGATGTTTTATGATATACCTTGATAATACAGCACAGGGTAACAAATGCTTGGAAAGGAAAAGGGACAGTAATCTCAGGCACCAACTCTTTGAAATCTTAAAAAGTACATCTAGTGTTGTTGGGTGAGATGGAATGCTGAGAGAGAGTCTTAGTGAGAAAGTACACTTTAAGGAAGGAAGACGTTGTATGCTTTTAAAAAATATGAAGTAATTATAGTTGGGGAATATAGTGTGCTATAGGCAAAACACAGAGGAAAAATGTATGCCAGACATTATGGCACACACCTTTAATCCCAGCACTCAGAAGGCCAAGGCAAGTGGATCTCTGAGCTCCAGGCC